TTCATTTATTTATTTTTGAGAAACAGAGTGAGACAAAGCGTGAGCGGGGGAGGGGCAGAGAGAGAAGGAGACACAGAATCTGAAGCAGGCTCCAGGCTCTGAGCAAGCAGTCAGCACAGAGCCGATGCGGGCCTCGAACCCACAAACTGTGAGATCATGACCTGAGCCGAAGTCGGACGCTCAACCGACTGAGCCACCCTGGCGCCCCCGGGAAGTTTGTGTTTAATAGATACAGAGTTCCCATTGGGAAGATGAAAAAGTTGTGGAGATAGATGGAGATGTGATGGTTGCACAACGTGAATGAACCTTAGTGCACAGAACTATACATTAAGAAATGGACAGGGGCGCCTGGGTGGCGCAGTCGGTTAAGCGTCCAACTTCAGCCAGGTCACGATCTCGCGGTCCGTGAGTTCAAGCCCCGCGTCAGGCTCTGGGCTGATGGCTCAGAGCCTGGAGCCTGTTTCCGATTCTGTGTCTCCCTCTCTCTTTGCCCCTCCCCCGTTCATGCTCTGTCTCTCTCTGTCCCAAAATAAATAAACGTTGGAAAAAAAAAAAAAAAAGAAATGGATAGGAGTGCCTGGGTGGCTCAGTTCAGCGTCCAACTTTGGCTCAGGTCATGATCTCACGGCTCGTGGGTTTGAGCCCCGTGTAAGGCTCTGCACTGGCAGCTCGGAGCCTGCTTTGGATTCTGCATCTCCCTCTCTCTCTGCCCCTCCCCCCTTGTGCTCTCTCTCTCTCTCTCCCCCAAAAATAAATACATAAACATTTTTTTAAATGGTTAAAATGGTAAATTTCATGGTATATATAGTCACGATTTTTAAAAAAGGAAAAGTGGGGTGCTTGAGTGGCTCAGTCAGTTAAGCGTCAGACTTCAGCTCAGGTCATGATCTCATGGTTCACAGGTTCCAGTGCTGCGTCAGGCTCTGTGCTGACAGCTCAGAGCCTGAAGCCTGCTTCATGGATTCTGTCTCCCTCTCCCTATGCCCCTCCCCCTCTCATACTCTGTCTCTCTCAAAAATAAATTAAAAGAAAAAAAAACATTAAAAAAAATAAGGAAAAGAAACCCGTAACCATTAACAGTCACTCCCCATTCCTCTTCTCTGCCCCTGCCCCAGCCCCTGGGCACCGGGAATCTGCTTTCTGTTTTTATGGATTTGTCTGTTCTGGACAATGATATAAATGGAATCATCATCAAAAGGAAGCCTTTTCTGTTCTGGCTTCTTTCACTTAGCATAGTATTTCCAAACTTTATCCATGTTGTATAATATTCCACTGTATGGATAAAACTATTTATCCACTTATTAATTTATGGACATTTGGGGTGTTTCTATTGCTGTGAACATTCACGTACAAATTTTTGTATGGACATATGGTCTCAATTATCTTGGGTATAAACATTCTTAATTATTTCCTTAGGTGCAGTTATACAAAATGCAACCCCTAGGTTATGAGAAATTTGTTCATTTTTAAGGCTTTTGTTATGTATTGCTTAATCGACTTCTAGAAAGGTTGTATTGGTTTAATTGTATACTCCTATTAGCAGTACATGAGTGCCTATGGTACTGCCCATTAAGAGAAAAGGAAGTTATTCTTAAAACACCTTTTATATCTACAACTAGTAGTCATCAAGTTGTGATTAATTTACCTCTTTAATTGCTCCTGAATCTCTTCCCTCTTCTCCATCCCCCCTGCTACTCCCCTGTTTCACTTCTTCATCACCTGCCTTCTGACTGAAAAATTCTTTCTCTAACTTATACAGAGTGATTTCCTCAAGTCAGATCTCATCATGTTACTTCTTGGCTTAAAACCACTTGATGGCTTGCCATTGCCTTGTGCAAAAAGTCTGAATTCTGTAGCGTGACAAAAAATGGCCTATCAGAATCTGGCTTCTGTGCATCTTTCTTATTTCAGTTCTTGCATTCATCCTTCCCCTTTTACCTTCTTCCCACTCCTCTCCCATTCTTATCCCAGTCATATGGAGCTTTTTATACTTCCTTGAATGTATAACCCTAACTGTCCTCTGTGCCTTTTATGTTGTCCCTCTGCCTAGAACACCTTTGTCCTCCTAGATAATTCCCACTTTTTTTTTTAATTAAGCTCACGTATTACCCCTTGGGGAGGCCTCCCTGAACGCTGTGTTCTTTTTTGAGCTCCCACGGCTTCCTACCCTAACCTATAGCATTTGTCCACCTGGATTATAGTTGCTTTTCTGTTTTTCTGTATTTTCCGTTAGACTATGCTCATTGAGTCTAGAGAATATAATCCTTCTTTGTAGCCCCATTGCAAGCATGGCACATAATAGATACTTAGTAAATCTTTAATAAATTAGTAGAAGCTAGTGTTTTCAAGGGAAGTCTGTGTGTAAGTGATCCTCATTGAGCCAGTCTTCAGATATTAATAGGTTGTTACTTCCTACCTTGCAGGACACAAACTAATGAGATCTGTGATGTCTCCTTTAGGGAACAGACCACTTTGTGTGTATCCATTCTGGAGAGATTGCTCCAAGCTGTGGAGCCAGTTCACGTGGCCCGGAACCTCAGGGTTGACCTTCAGAGGGGACTGACTCACTCCAATGATTCCGTAAAAATTCTCACTCTGTCCCAGGTATGAAATTTTACTAGCACATAATAAAGGAGCTGACATTTACTGACCACCTGCTCTGGACCAGGCTCTACGCTGGGTGCCAGAAACAGAAGGATGAAGAAAATATGATCTCTCTCTGTCCCTAAGAAGCGTCTATTCTAGTGTGCATGGCTAACTAACCAGGAGGAATAAGCTAAAGTAAGAAGTTCTACCAAGTATTATCTGAAATAGTCATTCATCAAATACTGACTGATCCTTTTAATGCCAGGCATTGTACCGTATACTCTTAAAGGTACAAGGATAAATAAAGCCTATTTCTTTCCTTCAAAGAGCTCCTAGTCTAGAGAAGGTATTGCCATGTTAGGTCTTACTATAGTGGCATGAAAAAGTACTGTTGTGAAGGTCACTAAACCAAGAAATTGAGACAGTAACTCCTGTCACCCAGATAACCAAAATACCCTACTATTTGGGAAAAGAGCTGCTGCTGAGGATTATCTTGTTGAGATGTTAGGAACCGAGCAGTTACTTACCCAGTAGGTTTTCAAGTACTGTTTTTTCTTTTCTCCTCTAGAAGTGTTAATTCAACAGAAAGGCAGAAAGTAATTGATTTTTCTTTGACCACTTATGTGCCAGACACTGTAGTACATGCTTTTCCTATTTAGTCTCATTTAATCTTCATAACAATCCTGCAATGAAGTATTCTCATTTTATAGATAAGAAATTAGGTTCAAAGAAGTTAATTTGCTAGTTGATGGAACTAGCATTTGTATTGTTTTCTCTCACTGAAATGTCTCAACTCCTTATCTACCATTTATTTTTTTTCTTTCTTTTCAATAATGTGACTATACCCATAAGTGTGTTCAGCTTTAATGAATTTGGGTCATTTGGAATTTTTAATGGCTTGTCTTATAGCTGTAATCTGTAACCCCTAAAATAACAGCACACTAAGGGAATTTCTGATTACTTTTTTATTTCAGGTCGGAAGAATTGTTGAAAATTCTGAGGCTGTTACTGAGATTCTAAATAATGCTGAATTACTAAAACAAATTGTTTATTGTATTGGTGGAGACAATCTGTCTGTAGCTAAAGCGGTGAGTCACCTAGAACCATCAGCTTAAACATGCACAGTATCCTGAAAAACAAAGAAAGACCTTCTGGACTGAGAGGTGAAAGTTGAGTACGGATGATTTGTATAGTTGTTTTCACAACCTCATGTAGATGGTATCAGATACATAAAAAATGTTGAACAAATACCAGTAAACCCTTTCCTTTTTTCTAGACAAAGCATATCTAAATTATCCGTCATAGAGCTTGTATTAGGTTGCTTGATAAGGAAAAAAAAAAGGTACATAATCTGTTTTCTGTAGGCAATACTATGTGTCTTTTTCAGTTTTAAATAACGATAGCTAAAACATAGCGAATGGTCATTGGGGAAGATGCATTCCATACACCGATTTCACATCGATATCATGAAGTAGATACTAATATTCTGCATGTTTATGACCTAAGAGATGTTTTCTTTCCTTATAAGGCCATTAAATCCCTGTCAAGAATATCATTAACCCAGGCTGGACTGGAGGCATTGTTTGAAAGCAATCTGCTGGATGATTTGAAAAGTGTAATGAAAACAAATGATGTTGTTCGGTACAGAGTGTATGAGGTAAGACTAAAAGCATACTTCCTGATGCCTACAATTCAGAATGCAGTAGAGCTTCCACTGGAAGGCAAGATGGCTTGTTTACCATGCATTTACTGAGTATGTAGTCTGTGTTAGGCTCTGTATTTGACACTGGAGATGTGGGGGTGAGCTCCCAGCCTAGTGTGTGAAACAGTCATGTGAAAAATATTTACAGTACACTATATTAACTACCATAATAGAGTAGATAACATTAAAACTAGACTTTGAAATCGTTACAGTAGGTAGATGAAGAAATGGCTCTTATTTGCACCCACTTTGTGCTTAGTATGGTGCTAAATCTCCACATATATTGTCTTCGACTTTTACAGTAAACCATATACGTTATTACTGTTAACCTCCTGCTGATGGAATAGCTGACAGACCACACAGTTAATAGGCTGCATATTCAAAATGAACCCTTGACTGTCTAATTCCCTGTTCAAAACACTTTCTTACTTTGCATGTCTTAACACCATCCTAAGCTGGTTTCCCTTCTGCCTCTCTAGCTGTTTCATCTTAGTCTCCTGGCTCATTATCCTCAATTGAACTTTTAATTGTTGAAGTTCATAGAAGTAAATTCCCAAATCCTGTTCTCACTGTATATTCATGTCCAGGCGATTTTGTTCATCTTATGATTTCAGTTCCTATCTGAATGAGATGACTCCATAAACCAACCCAGATCTCTCTTCCTTTTTTTTTTTAAGTTTATTTATTTATTTTGAGAGAGATAGCGCAAGAGTGAGCGAGCAAAACTGGGGAGGGGGAGAGGGAGAGGGAGAATCCGAAGCAGGTTCCCCATTCAGCACAGAGCCCAACACAGGGTTCGAACCCACGAACCACGAGATCATGACTTGAGCCAAAGCCAAAAGTCAGATGCTCAACTGACTAAGCCACCCAGGTGCCCACCCCCAGACCTCTCTTCTTAACTCAGACCCTCATGTTCAGCTGCTTACTCAGTGTTCCCCCTTTGGACCTAGGTATTCTAGGCCCCTCACACTCATGCTCCAACCAAACTCCTAAGCTTCTTAACCTAGCCCATTCTCCAATAAAAAAAACAACAGCAACAAATTAGCCCTGTGTCACAGTCAGCATGGTTGGGTATTAGAACTTGAGCTTATTCTCTGTGAGACCCTATTTTCCCTGCCACATATCCATTAGGTCATCGTATTGTGCCGGTTTTACTTACATCCATGTGCTTGTCTTCCTTGGTATAATCACCACCGCCCTAGTCTAAGCTACCAGTATCTCACACCTGGACTACTGTTGTATTTGCGTCTCACCTGGTCTCATCCATTTTTGACACCACTGGTCTATTTTCAGACGCAGTCAGGATGATCTTCTAAAAATTCAAATCTAGGGCCACCTGGGTGGCTCAGTCGATTAAGCAACTGACTTCGGCTCAGATCATGATCTCACAGTTTGTGAGTTCAAGCCCTGTGTCGGGCTCTGTGCTGAAAGCTCAGAGCCTGGGGCCTGTTTCGGATTCTGTGTCTCCCTCTCTCTCTGCCCGTCCCCCACTCACACTCTCTCTCTCCCTCTCTCTCTCCCTCAAAAATAAATAAATATTTTTAAAATATTTTAAAAGTAAGTAAATAATAAATAAAAATTCAAATCTGGTTCTATCATTCCTCTGCTGAAAACCCTTCAGTGCCCTATATCTCTCAGTAAGCCCTTAGGACATACTTGTGGAATGAGTAAGTAAATGACTGACTGATAGAATGTATGAATGGAATGATTTTTAGCAGTCTTATCGCTCATTCAGGCTTTCGTATCCTGATTTATGGATTGATGATTTAAGGGAGAGAAAAAAAAAAGCACAGCTACAACCAGACATAATGGAGTATTTCTGTGTCAAAACAATTTCTCACCGGTTCAATGAGATTTTTCCAGTTGTGGAGACAAATAATGGATTTTTTAAAAAAATTCAGTTATATAAAGTACCTAGTCCTGTGTTTAATTTAAAATGAGATCTAACAGGTTTGGGCTGTTTTGACCTTTCAGCTTTTTCTGTTTTTTTCTTCCAGTTAATTGTGGAGATTTCTTCTGTGTCACCAGAATCTTTAAACTACTGTACCACCAGTGGATTGGTAACCCAGCTTCTCAGAGAGCTGACTGGGGAGGATGTGCTGGTCAGGTGTGTTGACTGAGAGAGTTCTTAAAGCAAAATGTCTTCTTTGAGAGGTCCGGGGAGCAGCTTTGGGACTTAGAGCAATCTTCCCTATTAGAACCTGGACCTGGGTTACAATCTCTTGACCACTGTCCTAAAGAAGGGGTCTTTAGAAACAGCTCAGGTTATTCGTGACAGTATACTAAAACTTAGCAGAGCCGCCCATGACAATCTACTTTAGGTTAACTGTGTTCCCTGTCCTTGGACATGTGTACTTTTGCAGTCACATGATAACTGCCATTTTGTATTACTTAATATGTTATCTTACACATTTTTGGTTTTGTTAAATAATAGCACTATGGCATGATGGAAGAAACATGGGCTTTTGAAAATGACCAATTGGGGCGCCTGGGTGGCGCAGTCGGTTAAGCGTCCGACTTCAGCCAGGTCACGATCTCGCGGTCCGTGAGTTCGAGCCCCGCGTCAGGCTCTGGGCTGATGGCTCAGAGCCTGGAGCCTGTTTCCAATTCTGTGTCTCCCTCTCTCTCTGCCTCTCCCCCATTCATGCTCTGTCTCTCTCTATCCCAAAAATAAATAAACGTTGAAAAAAAAAATTTTTTTTAAAAAAAAAAAGAAAATGACCAAGACTTAAGCTTGCATGCATTTCTGCTACTTATTAGCTTTTGACCTTGAACAGATTATTGTAACCTTTCTACACCTCCATTTCCTCTTCTCTCAAATGGAACAGTAACAGCTCTAAAGAAGATACGAAGATTGGAGCACCTGGGTGACTCAGTCAACTAAGCGTCTGACTTCAGCTCAGGTCATGATCTCGCGGTTGACGAGTTTGAGACCCACATCGGGCTCTGTGCTGACAGCTCAGAGTCTGGAGCCTGCTTTGGGTTCTGTGTCTCCCTCTCTCTCTCTGCTCCTCCCCCACTCGTACTCTGTGTGTGTGTGTCTCTCTCTCAAGAATAAATAAAAACATTAAAAAAAAAAAAGATAATGGGGATTAAATGAATTGGCCAAAGAGACCAATACATTGGGTAACATAGGTCCTTAAAGAAATATTAATTCTAGACTCTTCACTCCCAGCCCTCTACTCCCTAAGTCCCATTTAATATCTGCCAATGTTAACCTTGTTGATATTCCACAGTTTACTAATACATCCTCACTGTTGAACACTTGGTTTGCTTCAGGTATTTTGCTATTTTTGTGCACACAGGTTTTTGTTTTCCTTACGTGATTTTCTGAATTTTTTTTTAATGTTTATTTTTGAGAGAGAGCACAAGCAGGGAAGGGGCAGAGAGAG